TTGCAATTGGTCAGGCTATGGGGATAACATTTTCTTCCTTTTTTCCTACTTTGCTCAGTACTCTGTTCAGATACATGTATTTAACACCCAACTTCCATTTGTTTCATGAGAGTGGGAGGAAAATGACGACCTATTTGCTGGGCTATAATTCCCAGCATCCCTTCCCCTGCATAACCACTGATGAACCATCCTGAGATCAACTTCTGGAGGCCTATCTATCTATCTATCTATCTATCTATCTATCTATCTATCTATCTATCTATCTATCTATCTATCTATTTTATATAGCTGCCCACCTCATACTTGTGACTCTGGCCGGCGTACACAATTAAAACACAAAGCCAAATAATCACCATAACTAAAACAAAACTGTTAAAATACAGTTAAAACAGCTATAATAACAAAAAGTCGGGGAGAGTGCATTCTAAACTTACACACAATGCAACCATTTAATGGGTTCCATGCTTCCATGGGATCCCCAGGCCCAATGGCAGAACCAACTTTTAAGGGCCTTCCAGAAGGCCGACAGGGCTGGAGTCAGTCTCACCTTGGGGGGAATGATGTTCCAGAGGGCAGGTGCCAAGGCCGAAAAGTCTCTGCTCCTGAGTCCCACCAGACAAACCTCCTTGGCCAACAGGACCTGGAACCTGCTCCTCCTGCCAGACCTGATGGGACAGGTAGATGTAATGGGGGAGAAGACCTATGGGTCCTCAACCTTCTTTTAGGGAAAACAGCTTTGGGAAGGAAGTGCTTTTCACGAAGTAGCAAACTATTTTGTGCCATGGGTTTCTGCTTCACTTCCCCCCAATGGCTGTCTTTCTTCTTGGCATCTCAAGTTTATATTTACTGTGCTTTACCTGGAAGTCCTCAGGGAGAAAATGCTTGCAAAGTAGGTACTGAAACTAAAAAATAACTTTGTAAGAAGAATTAAGCGCCTTCTCTGAAGTGTTTTGGATGGAAACTCTCCTCCCCACCTCACACTCCTTATAGGAAGGAAGCAAGCAATGTGCAGGTGTGGAGATCTGTTTGATAATGTTATGATGTAAGCTTGCAGCAAAATTAAGAGACCAATGTATGATGTAACTCTCTCCAATGCATGGGCTAAACTATTTTTGCCAAACTGGAGACTTCCAGATTGTTAGACTTTAACTCCCATCACTCAAGTTTGACAGGTTGAAGTCCATCGTATATGGAGGATTCAGGATGAGCCAAGCTGATGCAAACTCAACTTGGCTTGAATTGCAAGCAGTTCTAGCCAAGTCTGGCCAATGAGGAGAAATGTGGGGAGTTATATTTTATAACATTGGAAATTCCCTCCCGAACTAACACCCTTTCAAAAAGTAGATACCAGGCAAGAGAAAACGCATGCTTTGCAGATCTGTTTGAACTTCTTTGAGCAAACTTGAATGCTATTCAATCATGTGCTTTAAGTGACGGAGACAATGGAAATTTGGAATGGAGTTCCCTCCCACCAAAATTCTTTCCACCCCAATCTCCCAAATGGGCTTTGTGGTGCAAATTTTGGCTAGAGGTGCAACTGGACAGCAGCTGGGGAAGAGAAGTGATGGAAACTGGAGAAGTTCATCCATATGTGGTGGAAGTGCTCTCCAGAATCCATCCAATCTATATATGGGAATATTTTTTAGAAAGCAGTTGTTGTTGTTTTTTTTTTTACTAAATATGGATACAGCAGAAACCTATTTCAAAACCGTGCCCAGATGGTGTATTACCTCCATGTATATTTGAAAGAATAAGAATTACCATTCCAGGTGTTGAAATTGTAACAAAACAAACAAGATCACTATGAACAAATTCACTCAGAGACATATATGAATAAACACATCTGCCTCCTGCTCAATACACATTATACATTTTCATTTTATGATGGATTTCTTCACTTACAAGAATGCACTGGGGATAAGAAAATTACAGTTGGAAGGATTTGGGGATGCGATCCAAATTGTGTAGTCAAGTATTAATTATCAGAAAATAGTGTTTGTGGTTTAGATTAAAGAAAAAGAACAGCTCCAATAACAGCTGAAGGAATTGCGTGTGCTGAATAATGAAAATTAATAAAACAGTCTAGCTATTAAGGAAGAGATAAATAAAACACAGGATTACAGCTTTGAGTAAAATTAACAAATGGTGCTCAGAGGCACTTTTGGACTGGATGAAGGCAAATATGCTGAAGTATAATGCAGACCAGACAGAAATATGGTAGGTTGGAAAAGTAACCGTCTGGATGGAATTGAACAGGCTGCCTTGTACAAGAAGACGCAGATTACTTTGTATGGCACTACTGAGTCAGCATGTGGAACTCGTGAGAATTTCTTGTGAAAGACGTTTGTGTTATTTTGCCAGTAGAAATGGTCCTACTTGCTTTGGCATGGATGGCATGGTTTGACTAAATTCAGAGAGGGATATAACCATGGGACTAACCTTGTGTTATATGAGGTCACTGTACTGGCAATGAGGACTGAAATCTACTGCTGATCTCTAGATTGAGATGGGCACACCATGGGCCTCATATGGCACTTGATGGTTGTCTGCGTGACTCACCTCAGAGGCTGCCATGGGCTTCGGCTTCCCAACACTGCTAGACAGTGGGTTAGCATTTCCCCAGCATGACATTATGCATGCACGTCTCTGTGCAGATGCAACCAATATCCAGCTCTGTCGCACTAGCTGGAAGCCTTTGGAGATGAAAAGATTGACTGCTCATGCTCTAGATCCTTGTCTTTCCTCACTATTGAAATCTGCCAGGACTGGGTTCACAATATGTTGATTGGAGAAGAAATGTGTTAAAGGAAGATAGGGTGATCCAAGTGCTGAAGCAGCAGCTTAGGTCCTCTGGGTTTCAAGAATTATCAACCAATTTCTCTTATATAATTCTTGAGTTTCAGAGTAGGTGATATCTTGACAATTCCAAGCAGTTTTGGAGGACACAAATTATTTAAATTCCTTCTGCTCTGTTTTCTAGCCAGGTTTTGGAATGGAAACTATCTTGATTATCTTGGAGGTTGGGGAGTGAGAGAATACAAGTCTATAGATTCTCTGGACCTCTCAGTGAATCTTGGTGCCATCAGCCATTGAATGCTTCCTCTGGAATGGGACTTGTAATATTGGTGTCATGGTGACTTAAGTTCTTGTGGGGGGGGCAGACTCAGAAAGTGATGCTGTGATACTTCCATTCCAGCTTTTATCGTGGGTCTTTGGGGCTAACTCAAGATTGTCTCTTGCCCCCGTGTTTTTTTTAACTTTTACATGAAATGGCTTGGAGAAATCATTCAGAGATGTGGACTGAGATGTCAGTGTACAGATGACATGCTATTTTTCATCATTTCATCCCAGGGAAGTGGCTAAAACAATGAACAGGTTAAAGCCCAGCTCAAGAAGAAAAAAATACTGCTGATCTGGCAACTCCTTTTAAATTGGACTGCACTTCATTTGTAGAGTCATTTATGCAATGTGTAAGTTTTAAATTCAGCATGTTCAGAGGTGGTGTAGTTAGGGCCAATGGCCAGGCATGGTTTTGTAACCAATTTAGGCCAAGCATTACATACTCAGTAATGCTTATTTATTGGGTAAAGTCCAGGGTTGATTAATATAGTGTCCTTTTATGTGGAGCTCCCTTGAAGATGATTTGAAATCTGCAGTTAGTGCAGGAGCTTGTGGCCAGAACTTTTGTGATCGCCGTGCGACATTCAGACCAAATTCTATATTGGTTGCATGGCTTCCTATCCATTTCCAAATCCATTTTAAAGTGGTAATTTTGGCCTTTAAAGCCTTAAATGGACAGAAGTCTGCTCACCTGAGGGACTAGTTTACTGCTGTTTCTGAGCAATGAAATCAGCCTCTTGGCTCCTGCAAAGTGACCCAACATTCAGAGTTATTAGCATGGTATGTTCAGGATTAGATATTCTCTTTGCTGGCCACACACTCCTGGAACCCCAGAGGATGAAGCAGAGCTTCAACCTGTTGCTTTATAGAGCACTCTGAAAAGGCTTTTATTTTTGCCCACATGTGCTTAATGTGCTTGGGGGAAAAATAGCTTCTGGCTTCAATAAATGGGTCTGAAATAATCATCTGTTGCATTTCTCAGTTGGTTTATAGCTATTTGTAAGTGTTTTAAAACCAGTTTCATACACTGCCTTGCAGGCAGAGCGGTGTGCTTTGAAAGGCCAGTTAAAAATCCATTAAATAGGAATCCTACAGCTTCCACTTGCAAGAAACTTGTCTAATTAGTTATACGTGTGTTGGGCTCTGTGCTGTTTGAGTAGAATGCTGTGGGGAATGGAGGCATTGTCAATATTGGGGTGCATTGCTAGTAGCAAGGGCCTCACCCCACCATCATGAGTTGCAAGATCCAGCAATATACAAGCAAACAAATGAATGCGTTTGTTTTAATTTCCGCATAGACCTGAAAGTAGCTGAACCATAAAATCTCAGGGGGCTGGGAGAGTTAGCAAAACCCACTGGAGTTGGAAGGCCAATACATTTAAATAAATACATAAATGTGACCAGAGGATAAGGCTTCAGAGCTTGGCAGTGAAGCTGTTGTCCTGTCTTCTAATCAACTTGCTAATCCTCATGCCATTGGTCCTTCTGGTTCAGAGAGGCACATAGTGACTTGCGGTGCTTCTCTATAGCGAAGGCTTTCCCTGGCCATTTCATGGAATTTCCCCCAGGGATTTAATGCAAGGGAACTTACTGCATGCCAAACATCTGCTCTGGACCTTCTGAGACAATCAGAAGGAAACAGGAAAATAGAAAGCATGTAGGCAAACATTCTTTGTTTGTATAATTTTTAAGATCACATTCATTCTGATGGTGGACAAAATAGGGGCTACCTGCATGAGATTGTTGATCATATTAATTTTTTTAGGGCAAGGTTCACAAAATCTTTTGCACCCCCCAGTGCTGGAGTAGATAATGAAATGCAAGAATACGTGATCATCCTGCAATGTAATCTTTCTGTGGCTATTACCTCTTGTCCTCAGATGCCGCTTCTCCTTGTGCTGAGTTTGCTGGCGATACCACAACTGGGGCATGGAGCATTCCATCTGAACATCACAGAAGGTAAGACTCCCCCTCTCCCTTCTACGCTTCTGCCTTAGGCCTCTTTTTCTGGGAGCTCAGGTTCCTTGTGCTGTGCATACCCCAAAGATGGTACATTCGGGTCGAGACAACATGCTACTATTTTTCCAGCATGCAATACCTGTCTAAGGTCTACTCAAAATAGAATTTAATAGAAATTAAATGTCTTTATATTTAAAATTTCTAACATTGGTTTTAAAAAAGGCCCAAATGGGTCTTCTGAGTCTTGTGTGATGGTTTCTGATGGGTGCCAGATGGTAGTCCCTTTGTAAGACAAGGGGCCAATGCAGAAAAGGCCTTTCCTCTCTTTGTTCATCAACCTCATTGTCCTTCAAGGTAAGTAGGTAAGAAGATTTGGCTGTCTGGTCTTTGCTAGGGTTTTCCTGTTCTACTCTAGACTGAACCTGGCTGGGATCTTCTGCAGCAAAACAAGGGCTCTAAGAGAGGCTCAATCAGCCTCAATCCATCCTGTATTTTTTGAAAGGTTAAACAAGAAAGCAGGACACATCATTAGAAATTGCCTCAGTCATATTTTGATAATTCCCCGGTAGGCGTGGGTTTCTTGCAAGCCGCAACTCGTGGACCAGGGAGGTTCTAGTCATCCCTTTCTTGATTTTGTTGTTATTTGAATGTCTGTGTTGTATTTCATATAGAGATAACTCATGCAGCGACTGTGCTACAATGCTGGAAAAGGATTGAAGTCACCTCAGCCCTTGAAAGCTCATGACAGTGCAACTGACCTACTTAGTGCATCATTAACTTGTGGAATTCATTAGTACAAAACATGGTGCTGGCTACTGACTTGGATGGGCTTAAGAGGGGAATGGAATGGAGAGGTCTATGAAGGATAGGTCTCTCACGGACTCTGTTCAAGGTTGGGGATAGCCTGCTTCCCAATACCAGTTGCAGGGGAAGAAGAACAGGATGGGTGCCTGTTTTCTCTTCTTCCTTGTGAACAGCCCAGAGGCAGATGGCTGGCCGCTGTGAACTACAAGGGGCCTTGGCTCGCTCTAGCAGGGCTGGGCTTACATTCTTATGTTATTATATTATTTTATGTCTTTTTTTATTATTGTATTTTGGGTGCTTTTATATTATTCTATTTTTGCTGCATTAAAATGAAGATTTTAATTTCCTACACTACCTGGAGCAGTATGGTATGAGAGGTAGGGTATAAATAAACAGAGTGAAGTTCAGAGTAGCAGAAAGTTAAATCTAATATGTAAAATGAGATCCACTAATCAGAAGCAAAATGCCACCAGCACAAACACGGCCAAGGAGATGTGTCTTGAACAACTGACAAAGTTGTGGAATTGAAGGTGCCAGATGTACCTCCAGTAGCAAGGGGCTCCAAAGCAAGAATGGCATATGGTATAAATCAGAGTTGTTGAGAGTCACGCAGCATATGAGTTCAATGAATAATAATTATTATTAGTGGTGGCACGGTCAGCCAGATGTTTAGACTGGATTTGGCATTTTTATCCACCTATTGAGCCCTTCCCAAGGACCCAGGATAGGCAGATGTTGTTTGATGGTGTTAAAGGTATCGTCGCAGGATGGAAGCTGTCCCAAGCAAAGCTGCCTTTGGCAATTGACTGATGGTGATTTTGTCAATGCTGATGGTCTTCAA